CGTGCCTGAGCTACTATGGCTGAGGCGGCGATGACCCAATCGAAGGCGGCTCCGCGAAGGAGTGGCCGACGAACTAGACCGCACCATCAGAGGCTCATCTGCCACGGAAAATAAAGTACCCATCAGGTGCGATTTGAAATAAATCAAATGCTGGAGTGGGAACCCTTGCCCATTCGAACCGGCGTGAAGTTGTATTAAACGAACTTCGCCGGATAGGGGATCGACTTCCCATCTCTTGGGTATGGACAGCGAATCGCCTGTTTTCTTCGTCTCTTGAGCGGGAGATCAAATATGTTGATTTTGCTTCTCGAGAATCTTTGATCTTTCAATCTTCACTTGTATCACTCGTTGGCATCGCTCGTTATCCACCACCCTGCATTGCACGGGGAGGGTTATTGCATTGTGAGCTTCCATCCTATTCCTCGTGTGCCCCTTCGTTCCTGAAAACAATGATTACGGTGACGCTTGGTTCAACTTGGTTGCTTCTGAATCCTTCGGATTTGGTTGCTCATGGCATCTCTCTCATAGTCTGGCATGGCCATCTGCATCTCGAAACCTGAAGTTTTATCTTTTCTTTCTGCTTAGCCAAAAGCGTCTATCCAAGCATCTTGGCCCATCCGTTCTTGTCCAGCCTTATCATAAATGATCGCGGGGTTGTCCTTCGCTGGACAACTGTATTGTCCGGATGCTACACAGAGGTAGGAAATCCGTTCTTCATCTTCGCGAAGGCAATCTTTGTCCGGAACCTACCATAGAGTCGCGCATCGTGCCGGGCTCCGACTGCATACGGGATTACATCCGAGGGATCTGTCCAAGAAAAACTGACTGTGAGATTAACCTGTGTCGATTCCCTTCCTTTGCTCGGTCATATTGGCGGTACTACCTCGGCAAATTCTCCGTCTTAACCGACCGCTTCATTGCTTTGCGCGGACGTCCCATGACTCCGCGCCCCTTGGTTTTTGGCGTTTCGGTGCCGAGCTTTGCGACATCCCGGGTTCGAAGTGCGCGAACAAATGTCCTTCTCGGGACTTAGTCTTGATGCAGTTGCACTCTGAGACCACAGCAGCAGAGAGAGCGGTACGTCACCTGCATGGCGGATTGCTCGCATCCACTCGCAAAGATCGGGGAGGCAGCCACTGCTCATGAAGACTTTGCAGCCGTCCGGGAACTGTCGTGTGATCAGGCCTAAACGGCCTGGTCCTACCAGTAACACTCCTAATGATTAAGCAGGACAAATGGAAATTTGGGATAAGTACAGCGAGAATCGGGATTAAGAAAGTCATATGCATACGCGTGCAAATCCCCCCGTCCTCAGATGCAGCCGGGATGGCCAAGAGTCATGAAAGTCATCGCCCGACCCAGACGGCTGGTCCTCATGACGGCATTCTCTTATTAAGATTCAACAAAATGATATGTTATGACAGAATCAAGAAACCACGTATTAGTTTGGATAGTAAAAGTCGAGTTCTGGAGGCATACTGCTCGCTTTCAGATTCCCTAGCTCTTTTATGCTTGTGCGCGTGAGGCATTTTTGAAAAGGGATGGCGGGATCCATATGAGAATCAGTGCCTAAGTGGCTGGTCGCTATGTTGCACTCATATATTAGTCAAAAGACGAGATGAACATAAAGAAAGGGTACGATATCCCTCTAGAAATTATAATGCATACTGGCAGTCACTACGCGTCGCTGAGGCAAACTGGATGAGCCCTGCCTTCCAGGTTGATAGATACCCGTGGCTACTCCAATGGTTTGACGCTGGTTGACGCGATTATATATTAAGTCAATTTCATAATCATTAGTCAAATATAAGATCGGGGCAAGAGGTAGGAGAATTCAGACTATAAGCTCTATTCCTCACCGGTAAACGGGAATCGATTTCGTTCGCCCTTGAAGCCAGAATGGTCTCATCGGATCGCGCTACTGGAAGTTTAAAGCTTCTTAGGTTTCCCTACATGTCAGCTCAATCAAGCGCACCTGGAGATCAATCCGGGCGTTCGACGAACGCCTTGGCCCGCCTCCAATCGCAACCTCTGCACGGGTAAACCTGAATGATGAAGAGATAGAGGAAAGCTCGAGAAGATAACTTTCAGGGCGAAAAAACGACGGAAAGCTCCTTCCTTCCCCATGCTTGAGGAATATGACATTGAATGTGTGACATACCTGAATAACGGACCTGCGGTCTCGAACATCTATTCATACGTATCACTGCCTGCAAGGTCGTGTTGAATCGAGATGTCCTACAAGACCACGTTCGTTTTTCTTTCTTGGAGCGGAGAAAGATATGCCCATTCGCCACCTTCTCGGACATCTTTGTCAATTGAGGTCCCAACCAAGCAAATTCCATGTTCGCTCACACCGGACGCGAGGGGGACCCGAATCCCGGTGGATTCGCCGTGCGCTCTCTTTCGCAAGAAACGCTGGAGCAGCAGAATAAGCATGGGTTAAGCAAACGTCCCAAAAGGTAAACCCCCTTTGAGCAGCAAGAGCAATTGAAATACTTACCTCCGGCGCCGCGCCGCGATTCTCTTGCACGAAGCTCAGCTGCCCGTAAGTTTCCACGCTTCCTCGATAGGACGGCTCCGACCCCGTCGGTAGAATTTCACTATGGGGCTTCATAGAGCGCGGCGTCTTATTCCTCGGCCCCTTGCGGTGGCACAGAAACACCTCGAGGGGCGCAAGCGGGTCGACTTACAATACCTTTGCGCAGGGCCTCACTCACACGGTGTTCGAACGGTGTGTCAGGAGCTAAGGTAGGCTCATGATCATCGGCCTGTCCTACATAAGGACATATGATCAATCAATGAAAAGATTGAGCTGCCACGGTCTTATAGTATTAGGGAAAATTAAAGGAGGGACCCAGGGCACAAGACCGGGTGATCGCGTCCGATGATCCACCTCTTGCCCCGGGTATATTAGAAATTGCATTTCTCCACATATTCCTCCCGCGGAGGTCCGGTTGACTCATCGTCTACCCTTGTCCCAGGAGGAGGCTCTTCCGCTCGATCTGTGAGACGGCAGATTGTATGCCCTTTGCCTCTCTTTGCGGCTTCTGAGAAAACAGAGCTCAGGCCCTGGCTGACCTTTGGCAGCCACTCACTAGCGGCCCGGACACGCACTCGGACTAAATTCTGAGAGACTCTTAACGCTGACTGGACTCATAGGCAGAACAAGGAAGCGCCACTTGCAGGCTGAGGAAAGTAATCCAATTGGCTTACATGACGATATGAAGGGAGAACGCCAAAAGCGCGACTCCAGTGGCCAGGCCACCAATTGTCACCAATACCACGCCAGCGCTCTGTACAGCCATCAATCCAGTCCTCCGCTCACCTGGCCAGGTAACGGAATACGGATTCCAAACATACCAGTTGTCATGAGCCGAATGCGAGCAAGAGCGGGGCAAGGGAGATAAGGCTCTAATGATGGCCATTGGTTCTGGTCACGGCCGGTAGGACTAAGATACGGCCAACGCGGATATTCACTAAGCCAA